GATTATGTACACTCTATGAACATAAACAATATTTTTGATTTGAAATATATTTACAATACTGGAAAATCCTGATTCCCTAGTTTGAAGTTATCACGACTAGGGTTCGGTGGTAGATATTATACCAGTAACGCACCACAAAAAGGTGATCTCCCAACGTTACTGGTTTGAAAAGATAAAAATTTGAAGGCTGCCTGACATGTGTTGATGTAGAAGTCCAAATTGTAGACGAAGCTTGACGAAGATCAACATGAACTTGCGAACATGAATTTTGCGAAATACAGCAACCAAACTTCACTTTTGCTGAGATGACAGTGGCTGTTATTACCGGTGCTACTTCACGGTGAAAACGAATTGAAGTGAACAGTTGTAACTCACGGTGAAGTGATTGCCATGTAAATCAAATGGGAATCACTACACCGTGAGTGATAAGTTGTCACTTCACCGTCAAGTGACATCGGTAAAAAGGGAGCTCAGCTGTGCAAACAAAACTAATCGAACTATTATCCCTGATTACTTCCCAAGAAACATTTCTGGTTTTATGAAGGTTCTGTAGACGATGATTTAGACTTGTAGAATGCTATAAAACCTTACCTTGATAAAACTTGCAATGTTGCTTGGGTTGGGCTGTGTCCCGAGTGCAGCGCTAAATTTAACTTGAAATTAACTTGTCAGTACTCGCGCCAACTTTTGTAACACGGGCACCTGCACGTCGTTCAAAATACAACAGCGTTTTATTTTCACAATGAGAGCATTTCATATAACCTGATATTCTCTCAAATATTCTTCCAATAGACCAATTGGACATGGGTATTACATTTCAAGAACAGGGCTGGTAGTGGGTATGTGATATAATTGAAGTGACTTTAGTGACTGAAATAACGAAAATAGTGACCAAATAGTGACTTTAACACAATAGAAAAGTGACAAATTGATCGGAAAGATATGGTTCCAATCTTCCGTTGATTTAGATTGTAACTTCAAGAAATTTTATAAACTCACACCTCATTGATGCTTCTTGAAAATAAAACAAATGGTTTAAGGAACCCTTGGGGCAAGACAGGTTTCGATCGTGAGTAAAATCGGAGTTAACTTTGAGTAACTCTGAGTAACTTACGTGGCTCAACCATGCCGATGACGGCCGAGTACTGCAAACATTAGCAACCGCATAGTATGGGTTCTTATGGAAAATCACATGGAGGATTTATGAAAGTCCCAGAGACAGGGACTTAGGTAAATCGCTTCCGCCATTGAAATAGCTCGTAACTGTTCAGCATAGACCTTGGCACAAACGGAAACCCTCAATCGATTGGACAATTAAAGCGAAAGTTGAATCAGGACAGATGCCTCAGCCAGCAAGGGAAGCTTTCCGTAAGCTAGTAGATCAGAAATACCAACAGCACAACCGGTGGTATACAGACGGATCTTTGGCTGATGGGAAAGTTGGCTACAGTGTAGTTGGTCCTAAAACTAGAATTGAAGCTGGTCTTCCTGAACAATGCTCAGTTTTCACCACCGAAGCTGCAGCTTTGTTATGGGCAGCTCGTGAAGTAAATGGCAAGTCCGTTATAATTAGCGACTTTGCTAGTTGCCTAGAAACACTAGAAATAGGAAAGTCCAAGAACGCGTACGTTCAAGCTATCGAGAAGGAGGCAGAAGCAAAGGATATTTGCTACTGCTGGATTCCCGGTCACTCGAAAATAACTGGAAATGAAGAGGCTGACAGAGCAGCAAATAAAGGTCGACAGCGAGAGAAAGCTACAAACAACCCAGACAACCAAAATCCACAATATTGAAAACACATCAGTCAACATGGGACGGATCAGCAAGGAATATTACTAGGATTGTTAAGTCAACAGTTTTTGGATGGATGGACCAGATGGACAGAATAGACCAAATAATTCTTACCATTGTCTGTTTTTATCGTTTACCATCACACGCAAGGAGTAGCACTTCAACCCAGTGTAGATGAATTGCGTTCGTTTTGAATATCTTCACTGTGAAGTACGAGCGAAACGAACAAAGGTGTTCATTATAAATCAACGAATACGCGTTTGTTGATATTCAGCACTGCTTGATTATCCAACCCAAAATTGTCAAAATCAGAGGCGATCCTCATAAGCAAAATAATCAAATTCATTTTGGAAAACAAATGTTGACTTCGATACTCAGAGGTTGCCTTGATCAAGAGAATGTGTTTACGTCAAAATTCAAATTCAGGCAGGTAGCTGGTCTATCTGTTAAGGTTGTCTTCATTTCCTAAGCTAAGTTGAGTGCCCGAAAAAAAAATAACAACAAAAATACATTAAAAAACAATGTAACAATAAGACGAAAATTATTGTCGTAACAATGATTTATATTGTTACGTCTACAATAAATTTACCTTGATTTATGTTGTACAAAACAGTACGGTTTATGGTAGTTGCGCGAAATGTCTTCCTTCGATTTGAGATAAACAAATGTTCGGATGTATGTAGTCGATTTTTTATGTGCATTGGCAAGCTTTTTCGTGGCCAATATTCAGGTTCAATGCTGTGACTCAACGAATGATGGAACTAATGATGGGACGCCACATGGAGGTTCTACTTGGCTGCGGAACAGCTTCTCAGCTTCAAATAATAGAGACCTAGAATGAGGAATTAGAAATTGTCTCCTGGGCCTGGTTATGGCCAGATAAGCAACCAATTACAGATCGCATTTTATTTTGCTAGATCTTAGTGAAAAACTTGCCGAGATTCAGCAAAAAATAAGTTTGTTAGCTGATATCTCGGCAAAATACCCATTTGTTAGCTGAATCTCGGCAAGTTTTTCACTGAGATACAGCAAAATAAAATGCCGAGCTGCTCGGTGGTGCCACTCTCGGGTAAAAAAAGATCTAGGTGTTATGGGGAGCGGAACCTACGTTAAAAGTTAGTTAAATCACTTCAGGAAAGCTCAGACTAAAACTAAATAAGGCCTGTACTCGAAAAAAATGCACCAGACAAAAGTGTTTGCCAAAAATTTATTTTAAGTCGGATTTTCTTGAAACTCTCAGGGAATGAACTTATACACATGAATTATGTTTCGGCATAATTACTTTATTCAATTTACTTTCCATCGCTGAAAGCCCGCACCTTTCCCTTAAGACCCCTCATTACATTTTGTGCAATGGTGGAGCCGACCTTTTTGGTCACTTTCATCCATTCTTTCTTCAACTCCAGCTCGTTCTTAAACACCTTGGACGATTTTCGAACTTTGGCCTTCATTATGGCCCAAAATCTTTCCACCGGACGAATTTCTGGTGAATTTGGGGGGCTGGCAGTTTTTGGTACAAAAACAACGTTATTGTCTCTGTACCAATCCGACGTCGATCGCGCGTAATGGCATGATGCCAGGTCCGGCCAAAATAATGTCTCGCCTCCGTGGGACCGCAGGAAGGGCAACCGACGCTTCTGGAGGCACTCGGTGCGGTAAATTTTGCTGTTCATGGTACCCATTGTGATGTACGGTTTACTCAGTTTACCGCATTGGCATATGGCCTGCCAGAGCAAGTATTTCTTCTTCCTTATGTCTTCCGGAACATCAAACCGTGATTTGGCAGCGTAGAACTCCAGCCCCGGTATCTGCTTTACGTCTGCCTTGATGTAGGTTTCGTCATCCATAACCACATACATCGGTTTCGTTAACCACTCTCGATACAGCTTCCTTGCGCGGGATTTGGCCGCCGTGATTTGTTGATCACGCCGGTTCGGTGCCTTCCGGACCGACCTTCAATACACGAAGCCCAGCTCGTTTCATGGTTTGCTGAACGAACCAGGTGGAACACTTTGCCTTCAGAGCCACGTCGCGAATCGAAAGGTTCGGATTACGCTTGAAATAATCCAACACCTTCCGGGCCTTCACAGGGTCAGCTGTCTTCGATTTTCATCCACTTCCAGCCCGCCGCTCGGTCGTCTGGGACTCCTTAAACGATTTTACCACGCGAGACACAGTTGTATGGGTGATTCCCAGTTGTCTTCCTATCCATCTCATGGTCGCAGTCGGATTTTCCATGACTTGTTTCGATGACATCTCAATAACCACTGAACCGATTGTTATGAAATTTTGCACATGTAAACAATTCACTCCAAACTAGTTATACCCAGATTTTCATCACTGTAGAAAAGAATTGAATCATTAAGTAGCATTGCAGCAGGTTTGTAAGTTAAAAAATTGAGATCGAATGCGAAATGCTGGGCACATCGCCAATAACCAATAGCCAATAACTCTTGATCGGCAAAAGATATTAACGAGTTCTGCACGGGAAAAGTTGCTTATTTGATAGTTCTAAAAGTAAGCGGAGGAGAAAGGGTTTTTTTGTCAATGCTAATAAGGACCACCCTAGTATTAATTGACACCAAAAAGAGGGCCCAAACTTTAAGGAACAACTTTGTAAAAGACATTTTTTCTCTAAAGTTTCAATTTGAGCTCTAAATGCATATTTCCTGCTAAATTCTCATTCTGGACCCGTGTGGAATGAAAGAGACGACAAATTTACCGTGCCAGAACTTCTCTCATGAATATCTTAATCTGATTATGAAGTAGGTATAATATTTTTCAAGGATCTGCATGGTATTTACAATGCCAATGCGGATGTGATTGTGAATAGGTATGTAAATATGCATTACGGATGCAGATGCGGACACCCGGAACATTCTTGATCTGAATGCGCAGATTTCATTTCATGGTCATTTTTGACAGCTCATTCTGAATCCTTAATGTTTTCGATCTAAGAACAGAGAAAAAGTTATTGAACTCTTGTCAACCAATGATCCGGTTCCTACAAAAAAAAAAAAAAATAGCCTTGGATCATTCACTCTCCACACTGATCCGGATCTCCATAACCGAGAATATATCAATGGAGTTTCATTGCCTGCCGCTGTGGTCGAAACTCTACAAGATCCGAGTATTCCCTTATAAATATTAAACCTTTAACCAAGTTAATGAAACAAAATTCACTAAGCAACCCCTTTTCTCGCCAACAGAATGGAAACCTCCGCCCTGGTGGACAAGGGCCCGGTGCCCAAAATTGTGACAACGAACGAAAAGGGCGCCGTCACGCTGCCGAATCTCGAAGGCCAGCCGGACAAGAGCGAACGGGGAAAAGCCATGCGCCAGGTCATTGCCGCCTTCATCGCCAACATCGGCACCATCAATACCGGTCTGATTTTCGGCTTCTCGGCCGTCGTCATTCCGCAGCTGCACGCCCCGGACTCGCTGATCCCAGTGGACGAAAGTCAGGCTTCGTGGGTCGGTAAGTGTGATCAATTTTCTTTTTTTATCTTCAGAAAAAAAACCAAGAAGCGACCTACCTCAACAAAATGTCTCCACTTTTCACTCGTACTGTGCCCCGCGCTAGTTTAGTAAACAACGCAAATCCTATCTTCCCCTTCCTCTATCTCTGACGGTATGAAAACAAATCCGTTAATTTTAGCTTCCCATTCGTGTTTGCATCCTCCTGAAGCGCGGGGCATTGGTAGATTTGTGAGTTAACTTTGTTTCCGATGGCGTCGCATGCACTACTGCTATAGTCTACCGAAACACTGACTGATGGTGTTCAAACAAAGAAATCACACTTTGAGATCGGTGCTGCTGATGCTGCTGCTGCTGTAATTAAATAGTTTGTATTGAAAAATCTCAGTCAGCTGGGCGTTTTCCGTACGGGATATAACTCTGTTTACGATCTAGCAATCCATGAGGTTTTAGCATACATTGATTCGTATAAATGTGTGGAACTTCTAAAATTAGAACACGTAGGGGAATCTTGTATGGGTGGTGGGGGTATGATGGACACCCTAAGTACATGGATGTTGTTTATGGTGCAAATAAGTGTATTCTGGGTATCTCGGTAGACAGAATGCTACCAAACACAGAGATTAACAAAGACATATTATTTTCAAAAATTAGGAGGATGGAGGTAAAATGGACAAGTGTTATGGAAAAATTTACATTCAACGGTAAGGTTGGTAAAAGCATTTTTGAAGATCATTTCACAGTGCGGTAGTTTAAAGTGATGCCTCAAGAACTGGATAGCATTTTTGAAATACATGCATAACGTTTGAAAAAGGCCTCAGCTAAACATATAAAAGTTTCAGAATAATTCAGCTTCATTTTCATGAAAATTATGTATTTCTCATAAATATCGTAAAATTTTAAGATTTTAGTTATACACGAATGATCCACATATGAAAAACTTAAACATTCTCTCCAATATATCTGCCTATTTTAAAGTGTTCGAAATTGAACGATTTTAATCCAATTCTTATCATCTTTCGCTGTGAATTTATTGCTGAAGACCTAAACTTTTGAAATTGGGCAGCGGTTATAACAGATTTTGTCGTTTTTGATTGTAGTATTTTCAAGTTCGACATTGTAAAAATAACATCTAGAACGTATGTTTGGGATTATTTTCGCATCAGTTGATGGTTTTAGAATATCACGTTATCATGAAATAAGGTAGCAAATAAGTGATATTTAACGTTTTCCCGATGTAACAAGTATGCATGCCAATCTTACCCCCACCTCCCCTACAGTTTACGGAAATGAATTCGAAACTTGTTAACGCTTCAAAGAAATATTTTGTTTTGCTAAAGGGATAGGTACAACAAAGTACTCGAATATCGGATTTGGCAAACAGATCTGTCGATCGGTTGAACGTTTCATGATTACTTAAGAGCCAAACCGTGGCCTGTCATACACGATTGGATTGTTCCTCCGATGAGGGTAAATGATTCCTCAACCGAAAACAAATGTGTTTACAAAAAATATCTTTACCGGGCAAATCTGGTTACTTATCTCATTTCATTTCAGTATACAGCTTCCTCGGAGCACTTCAGTGATCTTTGTATCGTATGTCTACTTTGACCATTTGCCTCTCCCCTAGCAACGTGGCGCGCAAAAACTTACCATGCTATTTTGTTTTTCGCAAACGTACCCGTTGAAGTTGCAATAATAAATCTCACGTAACATTTGAAAAGGGCCTTTCAGCTTATGTAAACAAAACGTACAATGAGCAAATCGAAGCTCGCCTGTGCAAACCAACCGCATCAAATGGTAGGGGAAATTCTCCCCTTCCCGATAGTGTTTATAGTTTGCGTGAACGTACTTCGATTCGCACGAAAAATTGCGATACAAGTTTTGTTTACAAAATCTGATAGGCCCTCTCCTAATGTTAAGCGAAAAATTAGCTAGCGTTTTGTTGGTAAACAAAATTCTACCACATGTAGCTCAGCGACCGAGAACCGAATCATCAGCGATGGCAATCATCGTTTTCTTGTGTCGTTGTGCTTCCGAATTGTTTTTCGCGGATCATTTGGCTTGAATTAATACATATCAGCAGCATCATTGATTGATCGATTGATCGATGATCGGCACGGGTAGTGCTAATTTTAAATTCAATTCAAGCCGACTGCGACGAGATGACAGACAGCCCCGTAAGTTTTATCGGCGGATTCTGGTCTCCTGGCAACAAGCGGACTGGCGGGGATGGGAAAGAATATGCAATCTGTGTATGGCAATGACATCCGATGTCCTCGCCATGAGTGGATTCACGATATTTTTTTTTCTCTTGTTTGTTGTCACGTTCTCAAGTGCCGTGCTCCTCAATTTGTGCGCCGACAAGTTTTTCGTGTTTTCGGATGATCATTTCTTCCGTGGTCGAGTAACCGAATGTACCTCCTGTAGTTTAGGGGAAATGAATGGTCAACAGCTGTTTTTAAATTCGGACCAGCATGCTCAGCTGATTTGCACATGGTTTGAATTTTTAATTCCAGTCAATATATATGAAAGACAGAGGGATGATGAAATATGTAAGCATGTGACAAGCTATTTTAAAACGCGGTATGGGTTCAACAATCCACTAATGGCGATAATTTTAGACGGGGAAAATGACTAGACGTCCTTCGTTGGTGCAGTATTTCGCGATGAATTGTAAGTTCCTACTTTACTCCTCGATAACATGAGACGCGATATTACTGTAAACGGACGTGCCTTGATCGATACTAGGGCTCTCACTAGGTGTGATCAGCTGTGCAAACGAGTGATGCGGTAGACTATGTGGCAACAACTGTAGGTAGGCATAATTATCGTTCACCTTGCTCTTTGCCATTTTATGGAAGTCAAGGTTAGGCAATGATGTGTTTAAACATTGCAGATTATTTAAACTGTTGATACAGATGGAATTCTGAACGATGTGTTTTGTTTGATATTGTGCACACGTGCACAGTAGCTTCATAATTTAAAGGTTTACGTTTCTACTTTTGAATAACCATCGTTTGCTCTATCGTTTGATCTATTTTTGAAAGCAATTTCAAATAGGGGAGAGTCGTCTACAATGAGACATTCTTTTCAGCGATTGAAACAATGCAAACAGTAAAAACAGGGAAAGAGAGAAGGATTAGTAATTTCCATTTTATTCTATTACTTTTTTGCTTATCCATGACAGATACGCGTATTAATTGTACTAAAAGTCGAGTATCCGCCAAGGATAAGCAAATGAGGTAGTGGAATTAAATGGAAATTACTAATCCATCTCTTTCTTTATACAGGTATTCTAAAAAGACGTCCACATTTATCAGGATTAAAAAAACCATATTTGTTTTTTTTTGCTAGTTACTTTATTTGTACAGGCTCAATCGAATAAACTTTACAGAGCCAAGCTATCATTTGCGTTATACATTATTAATGTCTTAAATCTAAAATTAAAGGATTTGAACCGATTACTCGCGGTCTCCTCGAGGTTAGTGAATGGCAATTGTATGGATGTGGAGAGGGAGAAGGAGTTTTGGAATATGATTTAAGATTTAAAAAATTCACTATTTCTAAAACATTCCTTTGTTGTTCCTCCGCTCTATCTTTTTTTACTCAGTGGGATGTCTATTTTCAATTAATTCTAAGTGTGTCGTACGCAAATAATCAGCCTTTTTGCAATAAAATAAATGCTGAAATAAGCCTGACATAGCACTTTGACTATATGTTTTAGTATTACTTCTACGTGAAGTCAACGATTTACATAGTTGAAGATGCTAATTTCAAATAACAGACTGTAGTGGTAATTTTTATACGATAGATGGAGTAGATGAAACATAGAGTTGATAGTTCCGTTAGAGTACGGCAGTGTGAAGATTGCATATAGATATTAGAATAGCGAGCTAGGACAACTTTTAAGGAAGGTACAAATCGGTTTTTTCATCTCTATTTACCAAACTCCCCCTTTGGAGAGGGACACCCTCACCATCCCTCTCCAAAGGGGGAGTTTGGTAAAGAGAGATGAAAAAACCGATTTCAACACGTTCAATCATGTTCAAATGATCATATCTTGTAATTATAGTGGAGATATAATTAACGGGTGGCCACTCGACTGGGAAAACCGGAAGAACCCAGAAATAACCCTACCCGGCCTTGCCCGGGATTCAATATAAGCTTGAGTGTATGCGCCGAGTAAAAAAAAGGATGCTATATTGTACGTAGCCCCCCCCCCCCCCCTCTTATCTAAGGGACTACACCTTTTTTTTTTATACAGGGGGGAATCTGCTCCCAGACACCTGAGAAGATAACTCAGGGTGTGGGGTGGGAGAAGTAGCACTCCTGACCCACTAAACCTTACCCTGTGCTCTAGGCCCTTGCCCTCCCCGGAACCGCCCGAAAGCATTACGTCATGGGAGAGGGCCGGTTGCGCTATGGCGCATCACTAGTGTTATGTCAGACGTGACATTCGCTACTACACAGTGAGCAGCTGTGCAGGGCCTTCCTCTTGTTGTTCGCTGTTCTAAGAATCCGGTGTCACTTCTGCCTTTGCACAACGAGGGTTTGTGCAGGGCTTATCAACCTCCTGGGACGAGCTGGATGGGGTTCCAGCGTCCTTACTCTGCGGTAGTTCGTTTAGCCGCAATATTTCCCCCTTGGGTTCGATAATTAACGTTTCCAGGGCACACCACGAGGAGGCCAACTACTTCATGTCCCAAGGGACTACCCCCTATGAACATCTCCTTATTCCTCTACATACCATATTTGGTTCCATTTGCTTGATTAGCTCTCGAGTTATGCATAAATTTCGGTTTCATTTGTAAGGGGGGCTCCCTGCATATTTTCACGCCGATCGGTTCAGTAGTTTTCGAGTCTATGAGGGTCAGACAGACAGACAGACAGACAGAAATTAATTTTTATATATTTAGATAGATAGATATATGTACATTAATCAAATTCTGTTACTTACGATTTCAAGTCCGTTTTATAATCTAATCTAATCTAATACAA